CTTTATCAAATGGTTTGTCTACTTTAGCAAGACAGAGTTGTTTTTTGTGGGGACACTCACTGGGCAAATTGCATTTGTCATTATTTGCCACTGGAAACAGATCTCAAACCCATCTCATGGGATGACGAGCATAAACTTGTGTTGCATTATTCTTTGCATGTTGACTTTGTGACCTGCCTGATATGCAACAGCCACTTGAGGTAAAGCAGCTCTATCTGTCTTCCAACTGGCAGTGCCCTTGTCTTGTCCTCTAACTTCATACAGTGTTGCTAAGATAAGAGCATTATTTCTGGTCATAAGCTCTTTGACTTGTGCAGAGGAAACACACTTATTTTTAACCATGAGTTGCTCTTCAACAAGCTGTGATTAGGTGGCCTTGTTCATATGTGTCTGTTCTAAGAGCAGTCCCTTAGGCTGCAGAGTTTCTGGAGCAAGTCCTCAGCTGGTATGATGCCATCCTTTCACATCCTCCTGTGCTTCATGTCAGCTTTGATCCTAGGCCAGTCATTGTTAAAGACAGTGTTAAATTTCCCCTTGCCAGAAGTGCTCAGAGCAAGGCACCTTCTCTCCAAGAATTAAGTTTCTCCCTGGTGTGATACCCTCCTTTGGAAGTGAGAAAGTGAACCTCAGTATGAGAGCTTGCCACTAAAGCCTCTCTCTTCTGAAGAGAATCCCTAGAAAGGTGTCATAGGAGGAAAGAACAATTTATAACAGTTGATCTTACAGGGCACAGTTCTGCATTTGCTCACAATATGGCAAATGAGTAAGTGAGGAAGATGATGAGTTGCGGCAACTAATTTTCTTCTAATCTGGGAGCCATATGCTAGCATAGGACGTGATTGTTCTGGGCAACCAGAGGAATGCACAGAGGGTAAAACATACTGCTCGTGCAGATGAGTAACTGGTACTTACTGCCTCCACTCTCTGTTTAGGTCTGGTGTACTTAAATAAGGAAAAGCCCTCCAAGACATGAGAAGAGAAATAATGATCTTACAGAAACTCCAGAGACATTTTCATTTCTTCTGTTGCATTTTAAAACTACCTTGCTTGCAAAGTTGAGGGATGTCCTTCCATACGTATGACAGCCTAATATATACACACTGCTGGGTCCTATGTGTTATATGCTCTCTGAAGCCTCAGAATTACTAGAGCACATTTCCTTGGTGCTGGCAAACGTGGCATGAGAGACTTTTTGGAGTACCAAGTTGCAATTAGAGACCATTGCAGCTGGAGGAGGAAAGGGGTTTATATATGTTCCTCCTGAGAATCATAGCATAGTTTTGGTTGGAAGGTCATCTAGTCCAACACTCCTGCAATGAGCAAGGACACCAGGTTGCTCCAAACCCCGTTCAACTTGGCCCTGAACACTGCTGGGGATGGGGCAGCCACAGCTTCTCTGGGCACCCTGTGCCAGCGCCTCAGCACCCTTACTGTAAATACTTTTTTCCTTACATGTAGTCTGAATCTTCCCTCTTTTAGTTGCAAACCATTACCCCATCTCTTTTTGCCACTAAAAGTTTGTCCCCATCTTTCTTTATAAGCCTCCTTTAGGCACTGGAGCTGCTCTAAGGTCTCCCCTTAAGGAGCCTTCTCTTCTCCAGGCTGACCCAGCCCAGCTCTCTCAGCCTGGCTCCATAGGAGAGGTATTCTATTTCTCTGATCATTTCATGATCATTCACAGAAGGCATCACACACTTTCTTCTGTGTAGAACAAAGGAAGTCTATCCCTGCTATTTATTTCTAATTACTTCAGCACCCACATAGAGCATTCTCAACTCAGCCAATTTCAGCCATCCAAAGATGGAAGCAGCTAGCCTTCAGTAGCATATTTATCACAGGAAGTCTACTTCCAAAGGAATTAACAGATATGAAATATATAAATCCAATTAAATCTCTTTAATGCACAATGTCTGGGTGCCTGCACTCCAGCATCCACACACAGGTTTCATAGTAGCCACCAGGAACAGAGCCAAATGTAAGCCTCCCAGGCAAATCCAGATTTGCATCCTGCTTCCCCTGTAGTGCAATAATGCTGAGATACTCCCTGATTTGCTCTGGTCTGTGAGTACAGTGTTAACCTTACAATTTGGCTCTGGATCCTAACTTCCCAGCATTTTGGATTTGGTTCAGTGGTAGGGACAGGGTTTGGTTCAAGTCCGTTTCCACTGCTGAATCAACATAATTTCTCTTTACTGGGCCATTTTACTCATTTTGTTAAGCAGGGGAGGAATTAATCACGATTTGAGAATATATCCCTAAAGAGATTTATGATTTTAAACAGATCATTTTCCTTTTCTGCTCTTCTATTGCTGTTTGCTTACAGTTTTGTTTTGAGTACGTGGCCTCAGTTGGTTGGTCTATGTCATTCCAATAAGTCTACCTTAACAGATAGCTGTCTCCCTATTTTTTCTTTTCACAACCTGGATGAACCTATCCTCTAGAATCAGATTTATGAAACTAATACCTGTTGTAAAATGTGTTGTCTCAGAATGTTTTGCAATACAGAACTGCAATTACGTTTTGCCAAATATCCTTGCCAGTAAATTTGTTTCTTAGAGTAAGAAACATTTTCTCAATGGACAAAGTTGGACAAGAAAGAAAACACAGAAGGGACATGAGCTGAATTATTGTTTGAATAGGAATCAAAAGAGTTTATTTATAGGATTTTATGTATTCCCATTTCTAGAAATCAGGCAACTGATGATGAGCAGATGCACAGAGGAACTGCAAAGGTGAAGGGCAACGTTGTCACGTTATGATCTAACAATGACCATGTATAATTAACCAAACAAATTATTGTTTTCCCCCAATTTTTTTTATCTAAAGTAGTAATTACCCCGAGAGCCAGTTCTTAATATTTTTGTGCATTTCACTGAAAACCCCCCATCTCTTACTAGGATTTAGCATTAGTGTTGTTTCCCATAGCACTGTATATGGTAGGAAAAATAACGAATGCTTTGAGGTTTAAGAGGCTTTGTTTTCTGTATTTTGGAAAAGGCAGGTTGAGTGAAAAGATGCCGTATTGACAAGTTCTAGTGGAATAAAATAAAAAGGGAGTGGGGAAACTTGCAGTGCAAATACATTCTTCTGCATTTTTTGCCAAACTAAAATTTGAGGAGAAAACCCTAGACAGTTCTCTTGAGGATGTGATGAAAAAAGCTACAGCATCTCTTCGAAACAGGGCTGTAATGCAGTGAGATTCCATGTCAGAGTAGCTGTTTTGGTGTGTAGGGTCAGCACTACAAGGTTCTTCAGTGCTTAAGACCAAAGATGTCCAATATGCAAAACTGATTTTACTGTTCAAGCCAGTGCAACCAACTTCTTAACATGGAAATCTGTCTACGTGATAAAGGACAACAACTGGCAAATAATAATATAAAGAAAGATAAAAGGAGAGAGAAGTATTTCCCATGACAACTTGTCATTAAAATCAGCCTTGCTGTGAAAGGCTTTTTCTCCCTTTTTGCTATGTCACCAGCTCTGCGTGCTGCCTGAAGAACGAAGCATCAGGCATTATTTCTCTTTGCTTGCAGGGTCAGCTTTTACAACATCTGACAACCTGTCCCTCAGTTCCTGGGTATCCTCCTCAACCAGTTTCCCTGGATTTCAGCATCCGCAGTCTTTGAGTGCCCTGGGTACCAGCACTGCCTCCATAGCTACACCCATTCCTCATCCAATCCAAGGATCTCTGCCTCCGTACAGCCGCCTGGGAATGCCTCTCACACCCTCTGCTATAGCCAGCTCCATGCAAGGTAGTGGCCCCACTTTCCCTTCCTTCCACATGCCCAGGTACCACCATTATTTCCAGCAGGGTCCTTATGCAGCTATCCAGGGACTGCGCCACTCCTCCGCAGTGATGACACCGTTTGTATGAGTGATGTAAGACAAGAGAAACGTGAGATTTTCCATGTGCAAGTTTGGTATGAAAAGATACAAGGGACCTTCCTGCAAGGCCCGTGGCAGAGGCGCTGAACTCGTCACAAACCAGCTAAGAAAATGCATTACGGATATAGATTCCTCTGTTGAGGGATCACGAGAAGAGAGCGTGCGGCTTGGAGCTGCTCCCAGATCTTATGTGTAACACAGCCGAAATGGATCCCAAAGTTCCCAGGATGTTCCGTCACGTGCAGCTCGTTCCAAAGGTGCATTATACCTAGTGGAAAGAGATGATGTTTATGCAGCAGTGTACAAATTAATTGTGTATAAGTCGTCTTCTTTTCATATGCTAGATCAGTTCTGGGAAAGGCAATACTCCTACTCATCTTCATCTCTTCTTGTGACTGATGAGCATCTAGGCAGAAAAACGTATTGCTGTAACTCTGAGCATGTTTTAGCCATCTCAGCACACATCTGCTGGGAGCAGGACAAAGTGGAGAAGACCACTGTCCTTTTTAAAAGACTGGCTTATATTCACCAAAAGCAGTATTTCTTAGTTGCTACTATAATCCCAAAGAGAGAATGATTAATGAGTCTTTCTTTATTTGCTTCTTTCACAAAACACTTATCAGTTCAAAAAAGAAAAGCAAAAAAAAAAAGAACTGTGTTACAGGACTGTAGCAGTAATGATGTTTTCTGTCCTTCAGTCTAAACAGAAGCTTGTCCTCTAACCTAGGAGGAGCAATGTAACTATCCATTAAGGTATGATGAAGGAAAATGATGATTTGGGAAAACCTGTTACTTAGAAACCCAAGACACCAAGTCTTTAAAACAATGCTTGTTTGCTGCTGTGTTTGCCACTGAAGACCTGCTTCTAGCTGTAAATGCGTACCAAAGTAACCAAATGTCAGGCTAGATCAGCCTATAGGCTCTCTATGTCAAACTATAATCAATGGACTGAAATAAGACGAGTGGCATTGCAGTATCCTTTTATTTGTTCTGATTTTCTTAGGTTTGGTCATGGCTGTTATTATACAAGCTTTTCAGCCAGGAAAATGAGGGTTGTACTGTCTGGCTTTCCATGTCCTGGTAGAATGGTGGAGTTTCCTTAGGAAAATATCAGTGCAGAGCTTCACATGTAACTTCCTTTTAATGAATATCTGCCTTTTTTCAGTTACTAATTAGGGTTCCCATTCAATCCTGTCCACTTTTTCTAGTATGTTATGTCTGATGCAACAGAGGAACTGTAGATGTGTAAGGAAAAAAAGGACACCTCTGCAGTGAGCTGGCATGAATCCTTTGCACTGCTGAGAAGAATACCAGTGCAATGCTGGTTTCTAGGTGGCAGGAGCTGGGATTTCACTGTAAGTAAGTCAACACAGAGTTTATGTCTAGAGTTGTGTCCAAGTTACAGACGGTAACACGTCTACTGATAAAAAAGAACCTGTGTAGAACTGGAACACAAAGTGGAAACCAGGCTTTTTTGGCACTATTCTCCTTCACTTTTGAGCAGTGTGTGTTGGGATTATATGGTAAGAACCAGAGTGCAGTACACTGAGTCACCTGCCTCCTATCTCTGTGAAGTGCAAGGCGAGTCACACGCCTTTTTTGCTCCCACTGCCTTGTCTTACGTGCCCCATCACATAGAGCAATGACAACATCACAGGCTTTTCCCACTTTCTACCATAGGCCAGTATTTGCATCCCACAAATAAGAGCCATCTTAATGATTTTCCTGGTAGCAGTGTCATCCTCATTTCCCCTTGCTCACTGTTGTGATAAAAAATGACCCAAGGCAATTTGCAACTTCTGTTCTCTGTATGTGAAAGAAAATGAATGTTTAGTTACAGATTCTGGGTTCGGAGCTACTACAAAGAGTTCCATAAATGAATGTAACAGGCCAAGCCCTGCAGTATTTAAATGGCTTCAAATCAGACACCGAATTTGGCTCAATGTATCCAAATACTAGATTTTGCTCCAGGCTGTCAGGCTCACCTCAAAAGTGCATGTTGCAAGGTCGTGTCTATCAATGATCTGTATTGATATCAATCCCCTATTTTTCAGGAAATCGGGCGATACTCGCCCCGTAACAACATAACTCTTCAAGGACATACACGATTCCACAGAAACAGGAATTTCAGGGAAGGAGATTTGGAAGAAAACTTTAATCCCTCTCCTTCAGTTGCTTGACTTGTGTTAGAGTTGTATGAAGGCCCTATGATGACATGCACTAAAGCCTATGGGGAAATCCTATTTCTTTTATCTGTTTCCTTCTGCAGCTCCATTAACTCACCTGGTGCTGCAGGGGTTATGGTTAGGTTCAGAATTCAGGCTGGTAGCTTTAATGCTGGTATTTCCATCAGGAAATGGTGAAGTGAGTAGGCAGCTTTTACATGACTCCAGAAGTAAGTTTGGAACAGGTAGGCTGACTTAGGCATGCTTTACATGTCATAGAAAGCCTGCTCATACATTGGCCTGTCCTTCCTTTGTGAAGGCAATTCAGAGAAATAAACTGTACAATCTCTTTAGCCCTGTCCCTGTGCTGAAAACACCAATATGTGACATGCAGGAATGAGTTTAGAGAAAATCCTCCAGGCTCTTCCTGGAGAACGACACTGGAATTTGACAGCATCCTTTACAAAAACATGAAATGAAAGACAAGTGCTTTTCACTATGAATAAAATGGGATTTGCATCTGAAAAAATACGGTGGCAGCAGACTGTCCCTACGTAAAACAGGGTAAGGCCAATTCCTCATCCAAATTCGCTGTGATGAGTTTCATACTGTAGATGATGCAGATCTAATCTTTCTCAGTGGCCTCATCCCTCCTCATGCTGCTCTCTGCGATGGTTTAACTCCTTTGCATCAGAAGCCCACTGGGTTCCCTGCTAATGTGGAATCATGGACACATCCCAAGCGAGGGAACGAAGGCAGCTTGTGAGAGCCTTCCCCAGGAAAAAAGTCAATAGGTATGTCCTGTTCTCACCTCCTCTTCTTTGCCTCTGTAATTCTACCTCCAAAACCTGTTGCATAGAGTTGAGGTTGAGGGGATTAAGTTCACAGAGACCACAGGAAGCCCAGTGAAGAGGTCTTGCCACCTCGCAAGGCTTCTTCTTCCTGTCCCTCTCACCTTCCTGTGAGCGGAGGGCAGCATAGGAGTGATTCCAGAGATACAATTCCTGCCTCACTGAAGCCAGCTTGACTGTAACAAGAGATGAGATTTCATTCAACATTGTCACCTAAAAATAAAGTGTAACTGTAAGAACGATGAACTGAAGCGACAGCAACAACACAGGAACTCCACAAAACAAACCCAAGACTAAACCCCAGCTACAAATAAGCTTTAGCACTGATTGGAAGGAAAGTAATATAAATTCATAATTAATTATAATTAAAAACTATATAATATATAATTAAAAACCAAACTATCTGTACTACGTTGTCAACAACTCAGTCATTTATTTAAGGAGTTGCTGTACTGCCGTCAAAAGTCCATCACTTTCAGGACAGAACATCTGTTGCTGGTAGATGGTCTGGGAATGCCAAATAATAATCTCGAGTTCATTTTCCAATATAACTCACATTTTATATCCCATAAGAAGTGCTTTTCACCTTTATGAGCTCTCTTGGCTGAGCAAACTGGTGCTGGTTTATGTTGTTGGGGTTTTTTTTAAGCAGGGCGGAGGGAACATGCCTGAATATGCTTTCCAAAGAGAATGATAAGATTATCCTCCAAAGTGTTACAAGCACTTTTGGGTGTTTTCTGGATTACTCTTTTATCCAAAGGTAGTCAACAGCCTCAGGTCTTTAATCCAACAAAAGCATCCCAACGACTAACAAGCTGACTTAGATGCATTTGTCTGGGAGTTTTTAATTCTACTTTTGGAGCACTGAGAGAAGCTAGACATAAAATCCCCATTTTAAATTTGGTTTGCACTATTGCTTTATATGGCCTGAGGCACTGTCAAAGAGAGAAATTCAGTGCAACTGGGTTTCAGTGGTACTCTTCTAGGTGTAATCTGACAAACAAGCATAGCCTAAGTGGATAAAGGTATAGAGTTTCTAATGGAAATGCTTCTTCATGAGTTCAGAGATGGGAAGTTGTGTAACAGCTAACATCCTTGGTAGCACAATCTACAAAATGCAATTGCAAATCTCCTCCCAGAAGGCTTTATTCCCTGGAGGCTGGGACGCTGTATGAGTGTGTACACATAAGAAGATGTTGCTGCTTCCAGCATCCAGCAAACACTAACCAGCATTTGAAAATGAACCTCTTTCTTTGAAAACGTTTGGGCTGGCAACTGGATTATGGACTGCATCCTCTTCAGGGGTGTGTGCTATAGGGGAAGAGAAATATCAATGAAAATTACTGCAAAAACTTGGGGAGCTTTCCAAAACAGTAAGTTAATATAAACTGTGGCAATTCAAACCCTATATAAGGGGTAAAACCAACAGAGAGATCAGTGTATGCTTAGGGCTCCTTATCTGGGAGGGAGTTGTGGCCACAGTGGCCACTTACCATCTTCAGAGGGATGACATTCACTCCCTGCCAGATCAACTTTGGGTTTAGAGAGATCTTACTCTCACTATTCCTCAGAGCATTTTCTGCTGCAGGAAATGTGGTTTCTTTACTGAACACTTGCTGGCCAGAGGATTTATGTATGACTCTGTAATAAACTGTCCTTACATATAATCTCTAGTTTATCAAATGACAACTTCTTTTTCTTTATTTTATCTTTTTAAAAGAAAACTAAGCAGTGATTTAAGCAAACTCTGAAGTAACCTTTTATGATAGTTTAAGGACAGAAAATACAGTTCACTGTATTTTACCTTTAGCACATTTAAACGATCTTTTCTTTCTTTTGTTTTCTAATTGTACCTTCAGAAACACGAGGAAAGATTTGCTTTAAAAGTAAGGAAGGTAAAAAACTGGATGTAATCTCTTTAACAGAATGTACCACAGTTCTGCTGTTTGCTGTGTTGACTTTGTTGTTTATAA